GAAATAGATGTAACTCCCAAACCAGCCAGATACCTGAAGGTCAAGTTTGTGTTCTCTAAAACTGAAGAATGAATTCTAGGAACAACAGAGGTTAAGAGTAGGAAAAAATTATTGAAAGATAGCTTCTAAGAGAGACAGAAGGGGGACAGAAAATTGGGTTGCTTGCTCACTCTGCTTCTCAAAGGTGTTTTACGGGACAAAGCCGGGAGGTGAAGCAGGTTCGAGGTGGGGACAAAACTATAGTCAACTAGTGAAACTGATAGGAAACTGTGCAAGGAAATTTTGCTCCTGTGGCTCAAGTTGGACTTACTGTGGGAAACTCCCTCCTAGAATGTATATCTTCTTTGTTCCATTGTGGGAAGGGGCCGGTCTCCCGCGTGTGAACACAGACTGGCCCGCTAGCGTAATTAAACTTATTGCTTCCTTCCATCCTCCCGGAATAGAAAATACGAGCCATATAAACCAAACGGAAGTTTGACGCATCAAAAATTACAAATGCAGTCTCTTAGATAATATGGATGCAATGAAAAATCACAAGGTGGACGAAAGTGTTCCCAACCAATAAGATTATGACAAGTACTGTCTTTAGATAATACTGACTAAATGGGGATCCGATGCGGAAACAGGTCACGCAGCAGGCATACAGGGGAGGAACGAGCAAGGATTTCGGTGGTTAGGGACCCTGCCCAGAAGCTCTTGCTACCCGTTTGGAATACCGAGCAGTGCCTGTCGTCCCTGGGGGAGCCCGCGGCGCGGCGGTTTCTCTCCTCACGGCGGGCCTCCAGCGGACGGTCTTCACCGCCCTCCAGGCCGGCCTGTCTACTTAACTCGCGCATCCATGCTGACGTGACCAGTGGCCCAGTTGGTGGCAGTCACGCACTGCACACCCAGCTCTGACGAGTCTTGGCGGCACCGGTTTTTAAAGCCTTTCTGCAGTGAGGGAGGCACCGCAGGGGACGGAGGACGGGCTGGTGGCTCCGCGGTCTGCCGGTTCTGGACGCCTGCGCGGTCCGTGCTGGCGGACTCGGCGTTGACCGAGGGACGCGGACGCAGCGGGGAAGCGCGCGCCGGCTGAGGCAGCATGTGCGGGGCCGCGCGCCCCGAAAGCTTCCAGAACGCGCCGCGGGCTCGAGCCCGGGGTACCTGCTGTGACTGAGTCTCTGCTGGAAATGTCGCGGTTTTGAAAGACATCGCGGTGTCTGCTTCATTCTTTTCAGTGTTGCCAGTTCTTACGAAAAATATCTCAAAAGTGTTCAGAAGTAGGTGTGCACGTTCACGTACATTAGTAAGGCTGTTGAATTTGTGTTCAAAGAAATGGGACAAGAAAAACGTATGTGTCAGAAGTGGGATTCGAACCCACGCCTCCATACGGAGACCAGAATGCCCGTTCGCGGGAAGCATAGCTTGAGTCTGGCGCCTTAGACCACTCGGCCATCCTGACACTACATGCAAGAAGATTCGGATATCATACTAAAGAGTGTTTGCAAGGGGCGCCTGCGCGACGCACGATGATGATGTCAGGGCCGCTTGGCAACAGCGAGCTTGTGGCCACCTGTCGGCTGACCGGAACTGTACAGCAGCCCCTCCGACTGCGCCGGAAGCTGTGTGAGAGCTGGGCGCCCGCAGGAGGAGGCGGCCAGCCAGCGAGACTGAAGTCGACTTGGACCGTTTGGTTCGGTCGCGGCGCGAGAGGGGTTGTGCTGTTAGGGGAAAATATTTTCTTTTTGTTCCTGGCCAGTTTTCCCCCATCCCAATCCTTTCTTCCTTTGTGGCATATTAAACCGCGGCTTCCTGGATTGTGTTGTACAAGACTTCACACTTTTTTTTTTTTTGAGATAGAATTAAATATGTGAACGTTTCCTTTGACCGTCAGTTTTCATTGTGCATTAGGACTCACCCGAGGCCATCCTCGATTTTTAAGAAAACATCCTCCACAAGAGGAAATTTGAAAGGCCTGGCAAGTCATTAAGATGGTGACGAGTACCCTAAAGAGGAATCAAGCCGACACCCAAATTTTAAAAACAGGACTCAGTCCCCATACTTGAACCTCTTCACTGTTTGACTGATAGAGGATAGATCGATTGGTTGGTTTTCTGGTGCTGGGGATTGGACCTACGGCCTCTTGCACGCACACACACACACACACACACACACACACACACGCGCACTTTTCCGTGGCAGCTAAAGAACTAGGAGCGGAGGAGCTGTTGAAGCCGGATTTTGTAACTGAAGACTTCATTTGCTGGAAGAAGGCAACAGGTGCCAAAGGGATCCTACAGAGCTCCTCTCCTTCAGTGGTCCACATCCTCAGTGTGAACTCAGATTGCTTTATGTAAATTTAAAATTATTTACAAATTCATTTAACTCCAAAATGGGCTTCCTAAATTAAATATTTTTAAAAGTGGTGGCAAAGTTTAGTTGAAAAAGTAAAAGTGAAGGTCAAGAGAAAAAACTGGCTCTGCAGAGTGAACTAGGGCTGAGTAAAAGAGGAAGAGGCAAGATAAAAGAACCTCCTGGAGATACAAGGCGGGCTCTCGAGAGGAAAGCCATAGTAGCCTCAAAAATTTAACATGTACCTCACCTCAAACTTTGCTCTCCTCCCCTCTCTCATCTGCTGCACACCCCGCAGGGAAATGTCCTTCTGTTCATATTGTAAAACATGTATCATAAGGATAATGATCTTCTAGGCCCTTTTCTACTCAGCATTATTAGATTCACCCTTATAGATTTGTCCTCAAATTGCAAAGGGAGATGGGATAAAATAAAATTATTAAAAAACAAATTGCAAGCAGCTTTGCTGGATTTGACAAGCATGGTTATCTCTGCTGTAGCTGCTGCTTTTAGGGGGTGTACAGGGAATAGAGCAATGGCTGTGCCTGCCAATATCACGGGGTAGCGGAAACCAATGGTTTCTCCTGAGGGTGTGTCTCTTTGCACAGGTACACAGATGGTGTCTGTCCTCTTTGTGGGCCTTTGCTGTCCCTCCCTGCCCTAGTGGACTCAATACTGAAGTGAAAGTGGGATGTGATTTTGACATTTTCCAGTTGTGATCCTGCAAGGTGATGCTATGAAAAGGCATCACTGGTCCACAGACAGCGTTGTCATCTGTCCTGCTGGTAGAGAGCAGAAGCCACACATATGTGGCAGAACTGAGGGATGTGATCATGTCCAGCTGTTTGAATCCTGGCCATGCACCTGGGATCAGGCACTTCCCTTCTCTGCTTCAGTGTCTGTATTTGTAAAATCAAATAGTGCTTTGTGAAGTTGTTAATGAGCCTTAAATATGTTACAGTGCATAAAGCTCTTCGTGCTGTGCCAAGAACTGCTTTGTTAAGCACTTTATGTAAATGCATATATTAGTCTATACGTTCATTTCTCAGAGCATTCAGAAAAAGGTCCCCATTGATAGTCCCTGGTTGTATTATTTTTCTTAAACCCTAGTGAATGATGGCTGGGGATTTAGTTCAGTGATTCTGCCATCTGCCTCGAAAGTGCAGTCCTGAGTTTGATCCCCAGTACCTAGAGAATGAATTAGGATGTTATCCTCAACTCATGGTCTTCAGCTACGGACCCCAATGCCTAGACAAGAAAAAATGCATAGCCCATGGACTCTTAAGAGCAGGAAAGATCCACATTCCTGAGAACTGGGCTGTATCCATATCATTCCTTCTCAGCACACGAGTTTGCACCCCCAATGGCTTGGGGTCCTGGTTCTGTGCTCAAGAGCATTTTGGGCTCTGATCTGTTACAGGTGAGTCCATTATTCCACTGCTAGAAAGTAAACACAGACCTTAATACCACACTTTCCCAGTGAAATCACAGGCTTAACCAATGTAAGAACTGTAGGACAGTGATACCCAATATTGCCTTTTTAGCCCTCTTAGAAAATGATGCAGGGGATTTAGCTCAGTGGTTCCATCACTGGCCTGACAAGCACAGTCCTGAGTTTGATCCCTGGCACCCCCCCCACACCATAAGAGAATGGGATCCTAGAGCCACACTAGAAATCAGTCTGTTCCCTTCACTCTCAAGACCATGAGCCCAGTCTCAGCAAGGCCCAGGAAAAAATGGAAATACAAATATCCACTATCCACTTTTTTTTTTAAATTTGTTTTTGGTACAGGGGATTGAACTCAGGACCTTGCGCTTGCAGAGCAGGCAGCAGCACCACTGAACTAAATTCCTGGCTACACACTTTTATTTTTAAACAGGTCTGACTCCAGAATGGCTTAGGTGGTGATGGCCTGGGGGATAGGCGGCCCTTCAGAGCACACATCAAGAAGGTGAAGCCCTGCCCCTGTAGGAGATGGGAAAAAGTAGGCAAGAAGGCAACAAACTCCTGGAAGTGGCCCAGACTTTGTGCAGGAATGGATGGTGTGTGGCTGACCACAGACGGCACCAGGATCCACCTTCCATCAGCATGAGGGGAGCAAAGCTCTCTTGGAGGACAGAGGCAGACACTGGCTAGAAGATCATCACATGATAAATGTGCTGTTGTTCTTACCACTCCTGTGAAATAAGTGGAACCAACCAAAACACATCAGCCTCATTAATAGTTAATGAAACTTTACAGACTGTAAGTTCGAGGTAGCAATAATTCTAAGGACAACTGAGGCAGAGGAAACCACGCTAACAGGCCTCAAAGGTACCTTCAGATTCTCAGCAAGAAGCCCTGGCCCAGAAGTGACAAAAATCCCCCAGGACCTGGGCTGAGCCAGATGGGGCCAGGTGGGCCAAGAGGAGGTATCTCAGTGCCCTCCACATGCAAATTGATCCACATTCTTCACCTGCTCTAGTCGGAGGCCATCTGGTTTTATTTGTGGGCAATACTGATACTTCTCATTACAGCTCACAATTTGCACAGGAAGGGGAAGGGTCCCAGGGAACATGGATATCCATGTCCCTTGGTGAGGGCAGGGACAGTGTGCACATCCACCTCCGATGGACAGAGGCAACACTCGGCGGGGCAGGACCCCAGCTGCCTGCCTGAGTTCTGCTCCTCAGGGGGAGGTCTCCATGGAGCGACCATCACTCCCGACATGGCCAGAAAAGCCATCGATGCCACTCATGGGGCAGATGATGAGAGGAGCTGCGCTCTTCCCGCCTGAGTAGCTCAGGCTGAAGTAGGGCCGCACTGGCCCGCAGAAGGTGGCGTGGGAGAAGGTGAAGGTGTGGCACCTCTCGGTCACGTTATAGAAGGACACCTCCCCAGCATCATAGTCCAAGAAGATGCCCACCCGCTGCAGCGGGGTCCGCAGGGGCAGTGCAGTCATGGGGGAGGTGAGGGCCCAGTACTCCTTCCCATACCACAGCGACACGGCCCAGAACCCATTCTGGGGAGCTGAGGTTACGCCGCCCTTCCTGCACACTGAGTCTTCGCAGACGCCGATGGTCCACTTGGCCTTGTCCCCCACCTCCACCTCCCAGTAGTGGCGCCCGGCGATGAAGCAGGGGGAGCCCAGGACGCAGGGGAACAGGTTGAAGCGCTCGGGGTTGTCAGGTAGGTCCTGCTGCAAGTAACTGTACCGCACTTGCCGCAGGTTGTCGGACAGGATCAGGCTGGGGTAGGCCGTGTCCGGGTCCAGGGTCACGTCGACTGCAGGACAGAGGAAGGTCAGCCAAGGCAGGGACCCCGAGGACACCACCCCCATCCCACTGCATTCACATCACAATGAAACATCGCAGGACTCAAATCTGCAAAATTACTGTTGGGGCTGCTCTGACAATACAGTAAAAGTGCTAAAATCATAGCCCATTCCCTTTCTGTCTCCTGGGTCACAACATCCACGATAAACTGAATGTGAGGTTTCCTTGCCTGCCCACAATCCCTTAACATGTGTCTCAGGGGCCTAAAAGAGCATCACAGATTCAGAGTTAGATTTGTGGACAGGCTGGGTCTGCCACGGCACCCTGTGATCAGAGATGAACAGAGCTGCATGCAACACAGAATATTAACATCCTGCAGGACAAAGCTAGAACAGCTTTGCACAAATTCAATTTGCTGCCATAAAATAATAAAAAAACTTTGGCCTTCAGAGCCTTGGGAATTTGGACTTGGGGAGAGGGACTTAGACCTGCACTATCTGGCCTGCCCTTCAGATCACTCTTCCATTCATTCAGTGAGATCATCACTCTGAACGTCCAATGCTATTCCTCTTCGAAGGTCCTTATCTTCCAGTTTTTCTTAGCCAGTCCACAACTTTTTTTCTAGTACTCAGGGTTAAACCCAGATGCCTGGCTCTGAGCTACATCCCCAGCTATTTATTTTTTTGAGAGAGGGTCTTGAATGTCCCAGACTAGGCTCAAAGTTGAGATCCTCCTGCCTCAGTCTGTCCTAGAGCTAGGATGACAGGCAGGTACCACCACAACACTTCTACTCCTCTTATTGCCTCCACAATCACGCAGTACCTTTCTGCTTGAAGAGCACTCACATGTACTCTCTGAGCTCTTTAGACTGCTCAGATTCTTAACTTTTACCTCAGGGACCAAAATGCAGTGAGGCCAAGTGATTCCTGAAAATGGTCCACACCCAGCAACAGGTAAAGGTGACCAAGAACTCCAGGACCTTTGATTCTTGGTTCAATAGTCTGCTCAGAATAGGGACTGAACCCAGTGCCCTGCACACATACTAAGCACACGTGCTGACCACTCAGTTCTACCTCAACCTGGCCTCCGCCTTTCCCATGTTGTTTCCCTCGAAATCCCATAGGCAGGACCATTTCTTTCCCTTGTGGCTCTGGGAATCAAACCTAGGTCTCCATGGGCCAGGGATTTAGCTCAGTGGTTCTGCCACCTGCCTCACAAGCACAAGGATCCGAGTTCAATCCCTGGAACCAAAAAACAAACCAAAAACCTAGGTCTTGAGCATAGGCAAGCGCTCTTCACCCTGTCCGCTCGTTTGTTAGTGTAGGACACAAGCACAGCACTCCCACACCTTTGCTGAGGGGATGAACATGGATGGTGGCCATGGGGACCAGGGAGTGAAGACTCATGTAGCCCAGGTCCTCTGTGGGACACATCACATGGTGGTGGCCATGGTGACAGGGTGTCACAGTGCAGGCCGGGGCACCTCTTGGATGGGCACTTACCTAGCCTCTCCCACTCATAAGGCAAAGGGTGTAGTGGCACAGGGACATGTGGACATGTGAACCCCTGACTGGGGGCCACAGAGGGCCCAGTCTTCTGCTGGGGAACAGCAGTTGGCACTGTTCCGCTGTGAGCCCTGACTGATTCTTCCTGTGGCTGCAGCCTGAGGCAGCATGGGTATAAACCCTGAGACAGCAGACCGATGTCTATGCCATCCTCACATAGGCCACCTGACGAAAACGCTGAGGCTCAGCCCCCAATCATTCACAATAGCAGTTGAGTTCACAAGGGTTTTTATTCCTTTCCCCAGTAGGGTTTTATCTTCCATCACTTACCTGAGTATAACTGAGCCTCTCTCAATTCTGAAAGAACAAAAGAGATAAGAAGTTACCAAAGGCCATGAGCGTTTCCGGGAAGTCTGTGGCTGAGAGCACACTTGTTGGTCACTGTGAAGCAGTGGTCTCCATTGGAGACCCCAGAGCCCAGGCATCCAAGCGCTGTCTCCTTCACACAGTGCACAATCCCCACGTCCAGCCCAGGACTTCACGGAAGAGGGGTCAGGAGCTCTGGGTAGGACACTCTGTCCTACGGCTGGTGGCAGCAATGACAGCTACTGCTACTCCGACACACAAAGCACTGTCATGTGTTTCCATGGAGGCTTGTAAGTGGCAAAAATGAGTAGTTGAAGCAAACGAGAGCCAACTAGGAAAGCCACATCAGAATCAGGCACTTCCGGTGTTACCCGCGCTGTGGGGAGTCGCTCCTTGTGTGGACCACAGAGGGCGTGTGTCTCCAGGGGAAGAGCTAGGTGCCAAAACACACAAAGAGCTGAGAAGACCACAGAAACGAAGACTTGGCAAACAAAACAGCCAGTCCTGAGAGGAGGCAGTCTAGGAGGGAAATCTGGACTTGGAAAAGCCTCCCCTAGACGCCTAGAAAATATTAATGACAGGTATAAGGTATCAGGCTCTGTCCTAAAATTAACCTTATAACCTCTGTGCGGTAAGTGTCATCTCTAACAATGCAGCCCCTTCACTGAGGCCTGCGACTCTGGCAGCGCTGCTGGGTGATGTGCATGTCCACAGTGTGGGGGACCGGTCAGCCTTCTGCACACGCCACTCCAGCACTCCTCTGCTCATTCCTGTCCCTGGTTAAGCGACCTAACTCTGGACTGATCTTTACACTGCTTCTTTTCTCCTCCAGCAGGAAGGCTAAGAGCTGGGTGGACACTTGATGGACCTCATGTGAGAACAGGAGCTGTTAACTGGGAAAGTGAATGAGGGTGGGAAGCCTCAGGGAAGCTGCCAGCCAGGTCACCATCTCTATCCCACTCTGTTAAGACAGATGCTGCTCCTCCCAGGAAAATCCAACCTCAAAGCCAGTCAGGAGGGCAATTTACCTTGAATTTTCTCCATATCTGACTGCATTTTTTCTAAGGAGAGAAAAGAAGATATTCAGCTGCATCCCACATCTGTGCACCAGTGCTGAACAATATACATCCCTCAGGCAAGCCGAGGACATTTAGAATAAAAACCCACTTTACCTCATGATCCCTCCCCTTGGATTTATTACCTGTGAACTGCTTCAGACTCTCTGTTAAGAACAGGCATTTTTGGGCAAATATGTGGATTTTCTCTTGCAGATCTGGAGGTGTGATCCAAGGTTCAGGGATCCTGATCCTTTCAGCCCTACATTTAAAGAACACATGTGAATCCTTCCCTGAATTGCAACACCTTCCATGAGCCAGGACAGGCCTTGGATAAATTTTCCGACACTAGCAGACACTCTGAACCTGCTACTACAGCTGGCAGTTTCTTCACCTAGACTGTGATTCTTTAAACCAGAACAAGGGACTTAATATACACATTTTCATTTCCCCCAAGGCACCCAACTCATAGGTTCTCAAACAGCAAGTTTTCAAAAAGGTTTAGTGTACTCTAAGAGGCTGAATCAGGAGGACCACAAGTTTAAGTCCCACCTGGGCAGCTTAGTGAAATCCCGTCTTAAAAAGTGCTGGGAATGCAGCTCAGGGTGAAGGCCCTGGGCTCATGGGGTAGTAATGGGGTTATTTACTGAACTAAATTGAATTATGAGGCTGACCTTATCAGAAATCATTAAGTTCCATGACACAGTCCTTGATTATTTATGGTGGGCAACTGTCCACACTCTTCAGATTCCCCATATGGAGAATGATACCTCAGACAGACTGGCACTCTGAATTCAACACCCACCCCCTCACCTGTCTAAGGTCTATGGCAGACTTTTTACTGCCTATCCAGTATCTTCCCAGGTTTTGTGCTACTAGCCACTAGCCCTGAACCTCTCTCTAGTAAGCCCCACCCTACCCTATAGCCTGTCCATGATTCACTTTGTTTATGAGTGGAGCTGAGGTTCCTTTACTCTCTGTATACCAGGGACTCCTCCGGGCTAGGTATGAGTCCAGGAAGAGGCCAGCTCAGCCTGGGCTCCTTCCAGGGATGACAAAGGTGAGTGAGACAGTTCTTGTGTGCTTAATTTAATACTAGAGGGAGAAAATTGTACCTGCTCAGCGTGTCCCCAATGTCCTACAAGAGAAAGGAGAAAGGCGGCCATGAGAATTCATTAATAACTTGAGTTCCTCTCACAGATGTTCAGTTTTCCCAGAGGCAAGAACCACTGGAACATGACTCAGTTTCCAGGACCCAAAGACCAGGTGGAGGAAGCTGAGATTTTCTTACTAACTTGACTTCCTTCTCTTAGACCTCAACTGCCTATCTGCCTGCCTTTCATTGTGAAATAATTTCAGATCACAGACTAGCTGGTTCATATACAGAACTCTGGGTTACCTTTAACGGTTCACTTGATCTACTGTGGCATATTCAGAACTAACCGAGGCTTCTGTTCCCACCACCTATCCATGTGTCCCTACAGCTCGCAAGGACAAGTGCATCACAGGGGCCCAGGTCAGGACACGGAGCAGCGACGTGTGTGCATCCACACAGCCCGTTCCAATCTGAGCAGCTGTCTTAGTAATGACTGGTCTTCTCAGCTGCCACATCCTCTCCATGTAAGAAGCAGGGTCCCTCATGGGCTCAGCCACCACTAGAACCGTTCCTCTGCCCTGGTGTCTTTTCTGGCACCGATATTGTTTGACACATGCCAGTTATCTTACAGAATTTTGCTCACTGCAGTTTTCCTCAAGACTATACTCAGGTTGTACCACTGAGCGTAATCCCAGCACTTGCGTGGCTGAGGCCATTATGAACTACATAGTGAATTCAAGGCCAACCTGATGTATATGATGGGACCCTGTCTTGACACCCCCCACCCTAATTTTAAAATGAATAAACAAATACATTCAGATTGTGACATCTCTGACAGTGCATGCTGCGTCCCTCCAGAGGTGCCCAACTGCTCGTCCCTTCATGGTGATACTGGTGTTGATTACTGCATGGTTGCTGTTTCCCTTCTGTGGTTAGTAAGCAATCTGTGATACTTCAATTCTCACCAGATGCTCCTCTCCCCTTAAGATCTAGCATTAGTCCAGGGTGTGGTTCAGTGGTACAGTGCTTGCCTAGCATGCTTCAGGCCCTGGGTTCAATGGTCAGCACTGAAAAAAAGCATTAAAAATCTACTTAAAGAAAATGTGGCATCTATACACAATGGAGTCCTAACTATTCAGCTTTTTAAAAAAAAAAAGAAAAAAAAAGGATAAATTTTAATTATTTGTAAGAAATGGATGCACCTGATCCATAATGCTAAGAGATATAAATCAGGCACAGAAGGTTGACTACCACATGGTTTCCCTCATATGAGAAATCCAAAGTATAAACAATTTAAAAAGAAAAACAAAAGACAATAGGAACCAGGAAATAGAGCTTTTGGAGATAGGAAGGGGACCTAGAGATGGAGGGAGAGGGAAGGGAGGGAAGGGAGGGGAGGGGAAGAGGAAATAAAGGACTGAGATGTGATCTGTGGATGTACCTACCCCACACAATAAATGTACTGCATTCACGACACATCACAAACATGTACTAACGCTAGGCATGGTGGTGCAGACCTGTAAACCCAGCACTTGGGAGGCTGAGGCAGGAGGACTCTGGTGAGTTCAAGGCCAGCCTGGCATACATCATGAGATCCTGTCTCATAAAAGAAAAAACCCTCAAGCCTATCATGCAAAAAACTGCTTTCTCAGGGTTTGTACCATAGCAGCCAAAATCAGAGAAAGCAAGAGTCAAGAAAGTCCCAACAGGGCAGAATGGTTCTACTTAAACAGCCCCAGGGCGAGCAGTGCCACGGCTTCTTCCCCAGCCTGCAGTCACAACCCTCTCACACAGCGGCCTCTGCGGTGACCTGCACACTGCTCCAGTCATCTCCTGCTCCCAGGGCCTGCTCAGGAGCAGCCTCTGAGGGGCCAGCAGCTTACAGACCTGATCAGCTAGACCCTCCCCTCACTTCCACCTTCGGAACTAGACTCAGCTGGCATCTGTGAACGCTCCATGGAAGACCCCAGTCCTCCCCACCTGAATGCTCTCTCCTCCTGCACCATTCCTGATGACCTCTCCCACAGCTGCACTGCTCAGGCCCCAGAGCCCCCAACTCCTCACTGCCCAAGCCTCCACGGCAGCGGCTCCCCAGAGATCACGGTGCTGGACACAAAAGCACAAGGCACCAGGCATGTGAGCCCTGTGTTCCCCTTCCCAAACCTTTCCCTCCTGGTCACTCTGCCTCTCTAGTCAGCCATCCTCAGTGAGCGAATGAAAATTGGCGAGTGTCAGCGCTCAGCTTTTCTGCCCTATTGTAGGGGTCTGCGTGCATCTCCAAGGCCAGCGGTGAGGAGTGCGGCTCTGTGGGCCACAGTTGGTCTCAACACCCAAGGCTGCTGTGGCTGGAGAAGCAGTGACAGACACCACCTCCCTGAATGGGCACAGCTCCACACCAGTGAGAAGGCTGGGCCTACCTTTGCCCTCTCCATTGGACTGTGTGTGCCCCAATGGTCCGCACTGTGCTGGCCTTGGCATTCAGTGCTTCTGCCCAACATGCCTGGTGCTGAGGGCAGCCACCCCACCCACAGAGGCCCAGACGCCTGCCTCACCTGCAGCAGCTCCCTGGTGGGCTGCCGCTGCTTCTCCTCCAGCTGTGCGATCAGGCTGCTGAGGTGCGAGATGTTGCAGGAGAACTGTGCAATGGCGCCATTGATGCTGTTGTAGATGGCCAGGTCCAGCTCCTCCAGCCGTGCTAGCAGCCGGTACTCCTGCTCCTTCAGGGAGTGGTACAGCTGCTCGAACTCCCACACGATCTTCTCCCTCTCCATCTGTGTGAGGCTCTACCAGTGAGAGCCACAGCGGGGAAGGGAACAGTATCACCCTAGGCCCTCACGTCCTGCTTGAGGACTGAGCACACCCTGCACCGCTCACCATCCCAGTCCTCTCCCTGAGTGCAGGATGCTGGGGCTGAGTCATCCTGGTCATGACAAGACTGACTGGGAGTCCAGTGCATGTGTCACAGTCACCAGAGGGCAATGGGTGGTGGCTGGGGGAGCCCACACAGAAGTGGAGTCCATATAGCATCTTACAGCGAGAACAGGAGATGAGTCGCATGCCGGCATCAGCCCAGCTGCTCAGGAGGCTGAGGCAGAACCATGACTTCAGGGCCAGCTTGGGTAAGACAGCAAGATCCAGCTCAGAACAAATGACACAAGAGGGCTGGGCATGAGGCTCAGGACATGGTTTTGGGGGACAAAGACCACTGAAGGCAAAGACCGGACCACACCACATCAGCAGGCCAAGGAGAAAAACTTCACCACCTGAGGCATGCAGGGCTGTCACACAAAGGTGATAGGGCCAAGCTGCATCCCAGGTACTCAGCTACCCGGGCCTACACAGCAGCCCACAGCAGGGGTGTGGCCCCACGGCTCTCAGGCTGAATGTTGGCTGCAGCTCTGTCCTTCCTCCTCACCTCAGTCCACTGTCAGGACACCTTTAGGTTGTGTTCTAAGTACAGGACCAGCAAAGCAAGAGAAGGTGTTTCTGGAACCCAACCCTGTCCTTCACTGTCGTGCTTGACACAGAGCAGACCAGCAGCTGCGACACTGCCACAAAAGCTGCTTCACTCCCAGGCCCTCAGACCCGGTGACAACTTGATCCAAGACCTTACTCCTCCTTCCCGCCTGCAGCCATGCTGTGTGCCTGCCTGGGTTCTAGGTCCTTGCCAGTTCTCTCCTTTCTCAGTGCTGAGTCTTCCTGAGATATGGGCCACAGAGGCAATCTTAGAAACTAAAGCTGACAGTAGCCCTAATGATCAACTAAGAGTTTCTTCAAAGGGGTGCTATGGGCACCCCAACATGTGACTGCCTCCCATCATGAAACATAAGGCAGCCCCGCTCCGGTCTTGCCCTCACTCTGTTCCTCACCGGAAGAAAAGGGCAGTTCCAGCCTGGTGGGAGCCCTGTCCCACCCACCCCACTACACAGATGAGGAAACCGAGGTGTGGCGGTGGCATTACGCCTCCATCTGAACACAGAGGTGGCGCCTGGTGCTCCTGAGGCCTCTCTACTTGAGGACAGCACAGGCTCCCTGTGCAGAGGTCCTTTGTGGCCTTGTCTCACACATACTTGCCAGAGGCTTGCTTTTCAGAAGCAAACACCTCAAAGGGAAAGATCTGTAATGTTTTGTTGTCCAAAAACGTTTTAGGCACTTAGTGACTATATAAGTGCATAAAAAGCTCTGTGGTTCCCAAACTCCTCTCCCAGAATCAGCACATCAGCCCCACTCACCAGGAAGAAAGCATGAAGACCAGAGCCCAGGCACTGCTCTGGTCGCCCCACGCAGAAGGGACACGGGTGAAGTCCTTACCAAGAGTTCGGCCCGGGCCTGTTCGCCCTGCGCCCGGCGCCTCTTCTTCAGGTCCTTCACTCTTCTCAGGTGGTCCAACTGGCTCTGGATTTGTTCCTGGGAAAGCAGGCACAACCGCTGAGCAGCCGTGCACACAGCTGCATCCTTACCACAAGGATCCCTGCCCCAAGTCCCGACATTGAGCTTCAAACCACCGCCGACCACAGCACCAAAACTCTCCTCTTCCGCAGTAAGTCACCCACCTGTCCCCGAAGAGTGGGGAAAGTGGCCGGCCTTGGAGACAAGCTCAGCTGAGACCTAACATCTCCTCTCACTGTCCCCGAGTGACATGGGTGATGCCCCTTCCCAGCCCACCAGAGTCGTCCGCGAGGGAAGCGGCGGAGCTGAAAGCGCCACAGATGTTCCCTAACCACGCATGCGTGCAGTCACACTCAGACAAGGACATCGTTGTGCGTCTGCACCTGCAGCCCTCCAAACAGCCCGCGCAGCGTCCGGTACTAGCTGCACCGCCTCTTGCAACTCTTTGCTGCTGATACTTTGTTTCAGCTCGGGTCGCGCCCCTGTGTCCGTTGTCAGGGCCCGGCCCGACCCGGTCTTCCGGCCGCCGTTCTCAGGG